TTTTATTTAAAAAAAATATGACTGATTTATCCATTAATAAATATCAAATTTTCCAACTTGTATTAACAAAATTATATATGGATTTACTAAAAACTACCAATACCAATTCATTAAGGCAATTATTACTATTAGATGAACATCAATATTTTGTTTAAATATCTAATATCTAATAAAATAATTACTATTATTTCCCGGTACCACCTACAGTTTGGCAGGTTGATTATAACCTATTTAATATAAAAAAATCGTTTTCCTTACCTTAAAATACATAAACATTTGTAGGAAGAACTGCTTTATCACATTTATAACACAAAATAAGATCAATCTGAATGTTATTTCTCGAAAAATACCTTAAATATATTTCACAACACAACACAACGTATAAATATAATAACCATTTTAACTCAAATATAAGTCATTTCTTGTTATTGGTCTCCTTGGTTACGCGAAATCAAACGTGTTTTGTTTTTAGGTAAACATGCGCTTTTTGGGTGTTTACGCGCATTCCTAAATAAATTGCAATATGGATCGGACGACAATACTCGAAATATTCGTTAGGGGAGAGTAGCGCAAGTGATAATTTCTTATTAAAATAATAAAGAGACTGGAATATTTAAAAAAATACTACTACTATATAATTAACGACTTTAAAGGTTTAATTTGAGTGTAGAATTAAGTATAAGTTATAAATAACTCAGTAATAATAATAAAAAATTTATAAAGTGTGATACAATGAAAATTATTCAACCCCCCTTTTCTTGGCTAAAGAAGAAATGCTCGGACAGGTCGATTTTTGTTTGGAGGGGGACACATTTTTTCCCTAACTGCATCATTAACACTTCAACCCTCGAGCAGTGGGGTGGAAAACCCATAGAATTTAGATAGGGAAAGTAAGTGTGGCATATTTTTGAAAAGGTAATTTCATAAGAAAATCGGTAATGCCAATATTGTTGCGTCAACTTTCGATATTAGCGCCCTCTTGAGCGTGAAAATTATGCACTTAGAAGCAGAAATGCTTGGACATGTCGATTTTTGGTTGGACACATTTGTTTCTAATCAACGCTTCGGCCCTCAAGTATGGGGTGAACTATCAGGGCCGACAAGAGGGGGGGGGGCAGCCGAGACTATAGGACTATACCTACATACAAGAGCAGACATTCCTTCTATTAATCAATTCATTATAAAACAGGCGGATAAGTTATATTCGAAGTGTCTTCCAGAGCCATTAAATACAGTAAATAACAAATATAGAAACAGTCAACATAGGAGGCATAGCTGCTTACACAAAAACCTACAGATTTACAAAAGACATTTAATAGCAGATTAATCAAAACAAAGAGTGACATATTCCCTCGACAGCGACTAAATTACTTAAAGACACACACACCTTACTTGAGTCCAAGTCAAGTGAGTTCCCATCCTGTTTTACTGGATCGAAACCCTCCTGACACCATCGACCCCCCAGACAACTTCACTCAGGGGGCCTCAAGTTCAATCCATCTGATTAGTATGCCAGTCCTTCTTAAAGGGCTGTCAAGAATGACATATTATTATTTAGACAGAATTTGCTGAGGACATGTCCCTGTTTCGTCATCCATTTGTTTGTCTTGTATGTGCTCATTCTGTGAGAGTTTGCCACCTGTGAAAGCTCTCCCAGTCTCCGCTGGCGACAAGGAGGACCTTCTTCCCCAGGTGGGTTGTCGTCTGTTGCTCAGTCCTTGTCTGAATCGCGTGCTGTATTCTTGTAACGTATTCTAAAAGAGATTGCTGAAAAAAAAAAATGCTGAAAGAGAAATATAATGATCTATGAGCGTCTTGAATGTTTACACATTCCGTGGTTCGGTCACTCGCCGCCATAATCCAGCACTTTGCGTGGTCTGGCGTGTCTCCTATAATCCGCTCTCTCATATTATGTTACTCTGTTAGTTCGCAATTCAAAATTAGGGTGTGTCCTTAGTTTTTCGAAGGTATGCGTGGTCTTCTTGTGAATGAGGTCTAGGATCCTTTTGGATTCTAGATCTCTCATAATTACGTCATTTCTGGTATACCGGTAGACATTTTGAGGCCCATCTCAAGCTGATGTTTTGTTGTTCTTGTATCCTCTTTTTGTTTGCTTTACAGATGTAACACCACGCCGTCGAGGCTTGAATGAGCCTTATTTTTGTTTGTAGTAGGAGTTTGCTCCTACGTCCTATTAAGCAGTTTAGTCTGCATCTTGCCTATTTCATCCTCTTTACTACCATGTCCAGGTGCTTGGTGAAGGTTAGTTTTTTGATCTATTATAACTTCTAGGTACTTAGCTGAGTCGATCCATGGGATGTTCTATTCATTCATCGTTACTTCTTCTCCTGGAAGGTGACGTCTCTTCTTGAACAGCACAGCCTGTGTCTTCTCTAAGTTGATCTTTATGTTCCATCTCATGCATTATTCTTCTATGTTTTTATGAAATGTAACTGGAGTGGTCTACCACGATATCAATAATTTCAAATATATGTGTTAGCTTTTCGACAATAATGTCATATATGATTTAGCTATGTAGTTATTTATTACTAAAATTTGGAAATTTCGTTCAAAAAGACCTTAGGTGGGTAGAAACTAATATATTTAGTAATTTTTTAAAAACCTATCGAACGTTTATTTACAGTAAAACAATTTCTATATAGGAGTACAGTTTCCATGTACTCCATAGATTAAAAACAAGTCGTATATTCAGCCCAAACGCCAAAATGGCTCTGTTTAACCGGTATATATGTAAATTACCCAACATTGAAAACGCACACTCCATTAAACAATTACAACTCAATTATGTAAAATGAAGGGCTATCACTGGCTTCGGAAATTAACACGGACAAGTTAAAACACAGGCGGCTGCGTATTTTCGGGGGCGGAAGCACAGCCTGACGCGATTAAGCACTGTTAATTTGAATTTGTGATATATTTGCTAATTATGGAGCATGGATTTCGGAAATTAAATTGTTGGCCTGCGAATAATCACTGATTTACTGTCTTTATTATGTTCCCTATCTCTCTCGCTGTGTTTACTCTGCCAACAACTGTAGTCTGCAGTAATTAATGGTAACAGAGCCATTCTGTTAAATGTACTCTATTAAAATGAAGAGATTATAAATTGGGTTGATTTGTTAAGTCGAGTTTTGGATGGTTTAATGCTGGGAAATATGAGAAATAAGGAAGTTTTGTGCCTTGAGCATTAATCATTTTTCATTTTTACCCAACAAGTACATTTGCTTTCGGCATTATTAAAACGGTAAATAAATAATGACTACAAATGGTTAGATTAGTACAGATAGAATACAACAATATTAAAAGGCATTTAATTGCCTATTTAATTAAACAATTATTCGTAAAGATGACATTTTCATACTATTTATCGAATCTTCATTTAAAATAATTTTAAACATAGTGTATACTACAGTAACATACCATAAATTTTGAAAATTCCAGATAATTCTAATAAAAATGTTATACAAATTATGAAATCTTGTCTACAATAATTTCTGTGAAATGTAGATGAGATATTTGTATTTATTGACAATTCTGCTTGAGAGACATTAAATAAGAGTTAAAATATATACCAAAATCGGAAGATTAGTCACAACTGTACAGTTTAAAGTTCAATGCTGTATATGTTTTCTTACATTAGCTATTGTTTACAAAAGGTGATAAATAAATTAACGTACTTGTAGACGTAGACTCGGCTTTGTGTGAAATCCTGTCCATAAATTTCACTAAGTGCGTTACTGGTTTTGGTTTGAAGACATCCAGGTAAGTAGTCGTTGTAATGTATACATACTAGAAGGCAGAAATTATCTGAACAATTATCTGCGAATATATTTTATTTCTTGTTGTCGATCTGATAAACCAACGAGATATTGATACGAATTTTATATTGGTTTGGTATGTTTGAAGATACATAGTAGGGTTCTTCAAATGATTCTTTAAAACTGTTAATTTATATATATTATACAGGGTAGCTCTATTTTTTATGTGGTAGAACGATAGTTTTTGAACTCGAGACTATCTTAAATCCAAATAAAATCAGTACAGGGCTAAATAATAACGATAATATTAATGTAAATAATGATTACAAAATTCTAAATGTCTTGGAATGCATATCGACCAATCTTTAGATTTTTCTTTACATTTTTACCTTCTTTTTAAGTAGTTAAATAAAACATGCTGTAGATAGTAATTTGTGCAACAATATAAACAATTCATTTGAGTTGTACAGTATATGTTTTCTACAAATATAAAAAAATATTTTAACTTATTAAAACAAAATAACTAATTTATGAATTTTACTAATATTATTATTTTTTAATAAACTTAAAATATTTTTCTACATGAATCTGCTTTTCACTAGATAAAAAAACGTCGATGTGTCGAAGGGTACTCACATTATGTAAGTGCTACTTTCTGCTGCTAATTATGTTTAGGCGAGGAGTGTATGCAAAACCCGGCAGATGCGAATATTAAACTCCAACTCTTTTTTTGTTTCTTTTGTCTAGTTGAATGCGATGTATGCCCCATATTTCCACCTACTTGATCACTAATTACAGCGGGCCGGATAATGTGCCATTGTTACCAGTCTGTTAAAATCGCATAAATTAACTGAAAGCCCAACAAAAAATACACCCGCTGAATCGATTCGAAAAAGTTCGATGCTGTGTCTAAATGAACGATGACGTGAGTTAACGAACTTTTCGTGTTATCAGAGAAAAAATGAGTTATGCCCTTTTGTAAAATGAGCGACGATACGTCTGGCGATCACTGATTCTTAATCAATTTATCCTTTAGTCACTTGACTAAAAAATAAACTCCCTTTGTGACAGAAGAAACTTAAAACCTTACTTTGGCACCTCTTCTATCTTTTTTTTGTCAATCTAAATTAGATATTACTCCTTTATTTCATGCTATTTAATATTTTGGTTCGTATCTAATCTGTAGTAATGGTCATAGTTTATAAATTAGTGACAAAACATATCAAAAGGTATTTATTTTTATTTGCTTACAAATTCAACTTAAAAATTTACTTCCTTATGTAGTTGACGAAAACAATGATAGTAATTATGTTATATAAGAGATGTTTTATTACTTTCTGAGGTCATTCATTTGTAGGATTTATCAATTATTCCTCTTCTTCGGGTGGGGCTTCTTCACCCTCATCTTCACCTTCCCCATCACCTCCTTCTTCTTCAGGTGGAGCATTTTTAGCTGCGACTGCAGCTACCAAAGCAGCTCCAATTCCTGATCCATCTGATGATGCCATAATTTTAAATTTGTGACTATCAGGTAATAGTAATTCTTTTATTTTATGTGTTAACAAATCATGGAAATGGGGATGCAGTTTGTAAAGGGTCCCATCAATTCCTATTGTTGTTGTTTTATAGTCCATTTTCCTGATCAAAACAGTAATTGAGCATGCTACTAAATAAGCTGCCCTTCTTGAAAAGCATGCGCAAATATATCGAAGATCTTGGTAATCCTCTACAGTGGCCCAGGTGACGCCTAGACCATCGCAAATTTGTTTAACCTGATCATATGTACAAGGTTTGTCCGATTCTATATCAGAAACAAATTTTGTCTCAAATTTACCAACTGTATTAAAATCATCGGAGATTCTGCCAGAGAACATAATTCCTTCATTGGCAAATTTTACTGCAGCTAATCTTACAAGCTCTCCTAAATACATACCAGATATCATCTTTTCGTGAAGTTGCCTTCCAGGATTGATTGATGCTTTATCTACTTCTATGTCGTATTCGGTTCGACAAAAATCTAAAGCACCATCGTCACCAAATGCTCCAGACTCCATGTTAATTATGACAATTCCGGAACCTCTATCTGGCTCATCAAATAATTCTGCTTCAAATTGCTTTTCAACATAACAGCCATTCGTACCAGTACCGACAATGAGACCTATCTTACACTCGTTATCTTCAAAGGCACACGACATGAGTGTTCCTGTTGTATCATTTAGAACTGCAACAATTTTAACTGAAAGACCTTCTCGTTTTTTAATAGCTTTCCTTAAAAGTGTAACTACGTCCTGGCCGATTACCCCATCGCAACTAAATCCTTTAGTCCATCGTTCAAGAATTCCTACCTTAAGTCCTTTTTGTATCAGTGGAAAACTAAAAGTAAATCCTAATGGCAAGCCATCACCTGAAACTCCATGTTCACCACAAAATTCGTCTAATTTTTCAGCGATAAAATCAAATAAATCTGCCCCTGGTCCAGTCATTATTTCTTCCGGAATTTCACCAATACCAGTTTCAACTGCCATTTCCTCTCCTGGTGTTATAGTAACCATCAACATCCTATAATTACTCCCTCCCAAATCAATAGCAAGGAACTTGCCTTCCTCGGTCCCATCTGGTAGATCTTGGACGAATGTTGGGAAACATTTTACTATGGCAGTAGGGTTACTTTCTTTTCTTAAACCTTTTCTAATATCATTTAGGAAATTTTTCATATACAGACCCAATTGTTGATTTGTTAAAACCAGCTCATTGCATCTCGCTTTTACTACACTCCTAGCAGGCAGATTTCGCAAATAAATCGGGTTACATTTGTTACTGGGACATTTCTTTTTATATTTTTCACAAGGAGGTTCGTCTTCACACATTTTGGAATTTTGATATTTACAAATTTTACTTTTTTAAAAAAATTTCTAAAGATAAATTAAGATGACAGATAATTTAAAATGACATTATTTTTTTAAGGATATAGTCGATTTAGGATTTATTTTTATCTGACATGACAGGCTTCAAGTTAACTACATGATGAAATCATTAAAATATTGCATAGCCTTTCAGTTGCACGTCACCAAATATGACGTAATATCATGTTCTCGACATGTCTTTGATTACTACATGAAATTTTATGACGACTCTACATAATTTTGACAGTTGTCAGGATGGTATCCAGCCAAATAGGAAAAGACTTTGAAATTAATAAGAATTGTTATATCAAAACAAAATGTATTTTTAATTGATATTTAATATCATAAATAATATACCATTAGTAAATAAACTAAAATTAGTTATTATAAGACAACAAGGATCTCTCTGATAGTTTGAAACCACTTTTGACAGATATTTTCCAATGGTGTTATTCATTCGCTCTACCATTCCATCAGATTGTGGGTACAATGCTGTGGTTCGGGTTTTCTTCATGCCTAGTCTGTTACAGATTCCATGGAAGAGTTGGCTTTCAAAATTTCTACCTTGGTCACTGTGGATCTCCAAGGGCACTCCAAATCGATAGATAAACTCTTTAATCAACACATCTGCAACAGTTGTTGATTTGTAATGGTGTAGACTTTCATCCACTTCGTGAAGTAATTCATAACCACCATCATGTATTTATTACCATTCTCGGTCATGGGAAATGGTCGAGCAATATCTAAGGCGATCCTCTCAAATGGGCTACCAACGTTGTATTGCTTCATGGGAGCCTTCCCTTTTCGCTGAGGTCCATTACTCATAGCACAGCTAGTACATTTCTTACACCAGTCCTTTACATCATCGGAACTATTCATTCAATAAAACCTTTCTTGAACTCTCTGAAGGGTGTTCCTAACATCGAGATGTCCTCCTGATGGACTAGCGTGTAACTGACGAAGTACTTCGGCTACTCTACTCCTTGGAACGACCAACTGTCTTCTGTTCTCGGAACCATCATCATTTTCAAGTACTCGCTTTAATAAGCCATCTTCCAAGATAAAGAAGTTCCACTGGGCCAGATACGACTTAAGTACTGGAGAGAGATTAGATACTTCTTGCCAAGTAGGTCGACGATTTTCCTCTTTCCATTGTCGTATCTTCTTCAAAATAGTATCGTTCTCTTGTTCTTCCCTAATTTTAGCAGGGGCCCACTCATCGTTGACTACCGTAGTCCACTTTCTTTGGATTCCGCTTTGTTGCAATGGAAGCACTCTGCTGGACACGGTCTTCTAGAAAGAGAATCGGCATTTCTGTGGCTGTATTTTCGATCTTAAAGTCGTACTCCTGAAGTCGCTCAATCCATCTGGCGATTTGACCCTCCGAATTTTTGATCTGCATCAACCACTTAAGAGCAGCATGATCGGTACGGATTAAGAATTTTCTTCCATATGAGTATTGGTAGAAGTGTTCCACGAATTTCACAGAGTTACGCATTCGGGGGATTCCAATACCTGAACGAAGTTAGTCTACTAGACGCTTACCCTCTTCCATTCGTTAGCTCAATCTTAAACAAACTAAGGGATGCACGATCCTAACGACACTTGACATTAAGTCAGCATACTGGCAGATTCCAATGGTATAGGAGTCTAAACCCCTAACAGCGTTCGTCGTTCCTACACGCGGTCTATTCCAGTTCCGAAGAATGCCCTTTGGATTACATAATGCCTCTGCTACATGGCAGAGATTCATTGATCAAGTTGTGGGAGTGGATTTAGAAGAATTTTCGTTTCTAGTACCTTATATCCCTATAAAAAGATCTTCAAAAACACATGTTCTATGAAGGGATACTAGAAGAATGAAAATGTAGGCAGGATATGTACCGACAAAATTAATGACTTCTACAGGAAATGATAATAAAATATGACAGGTAACTTAAAATATTATTAGCTAATTTCTCACAATCACCTACCTAATTCCAAAATTACCCAGATTATTTGGGATTTTAATTATTTGTAATTAATTCAATTACCTGAATAAATTTGAATGACATAATGTCATAATTAAACAACGAAAATAAACCCTGAAACCATTTATAGAATTCAAAACGTTTCTTTGTCCCTTTTAGGCTCTTAGAACTTAACTACAAACTAATTAAGAAAACAATGGAAAATACTTGATAAAAGGTCTTTTCATTCTAGTTAACTCACAGAACATGAGAAATGGATCTCCTATTAAACTTCTACCCAAAACGTATACGGAGTGATCTTTTAATATATTTTATTCCTATTATACTTAAATAATAAATTAAAGTAAATTAAAAGTTAAATGTAACTACTATATATATTAATTTTGTGGATTTTGAACCGTAACAACTGCCAGGAGTTCTCTTCTCGTGACGCAGTAATTTCGCTCAGGTTTCGAGAGCACTTTACTAAAATAACCCAGTACTCTTTCTTTTCCCCCTTGAATCTGTGAAAGCACTCCTCCAATTTCCACATTACCGGCGTCAGTATCCAGGATAAATTCTCCCTCTGGTAGTGGGTAGCCTAATATTGGCGCTGTTGTTAAATGCTTCTTTAAAGTTTCGAAGGCAGTTTAGCAGTCTTCGTCCCTTGCTTCTTCTATGAGTCGCGTTAGTGGTTTAACAATATCTGCAAACTTTTTTATGAATCTTCGGTAGTACGTACACAGCCCAAGAAAACTTCTTATTTGTTGTTTATTCTTTGGTTGTGGCCATCCTTACTGACTACATGACCCAGGTAATTAACTTTATTTTGAAATAGTTGGCTCTTCTTGGGGTTAAGCATCAGTTGGGTAGCTTGAAGTCTTTTAAAAACATAAGTTTTTTAGATGTTCATCAAATGTCTAAGGATTAGTGATTACCCACAAGCTACCAAAAATTACAAATGAGGTTCAATCTTGGGTCCAATCCTCTGGAACGTCTTTTATGACCAAGTTTCAAAAATGAATCTACCGACAGGCGCAAAACTAATCGTTTACGCAAAAACCAGTTATGTTGTTGTTATCTGTAATAAGAGCAATCCGCGAGAAATTGACAATGATAGGTATACAATATCCCACCCTAAAATGTTTGAGAGAAGCAGTAAAATAGAAAATACAAAAGAAAAAGTAAAAAATAAAATATATAACGCAAAAAAACAACAAAAACATTTTAAATTATCTTCAAAAAGTAAACATAGAACTAAACAAATGTTATGTTAGTAACAATTACTTAATTTATAAATAAAAAGCCAATTTAAAATTCCAAATTCTTTGCATTTATTCCAATTAAATAAATCTAATATCTAAATAAATAAAATAAATCCAAAAATATCGCTGTTAAAGACGGTCAATGGGAAATTTCGATTAGGTATCTCATTTCCGTTAGCAAGGACTGTGACAGAGTCGCAATTAGTGACCGAAATGGCCGTTCTTCTCCTCACCCTCGTCTCACTATTCACAGGACAAACGTTCAGACGTGATCTGGACAAACACAGGAATTTGTACCTTTTCATTACCCTCAAGTGTTTGGTGTTCTACTTTCCATTTCTATCCTATTTCTTTTCGTTGTTCTGATACATTTAACAATACTAAGATTATTTATTTTTATAAGAATTAAGCGTGTTTTATTGGTAATTTAATATTTTTAATACTTTGCAACCACTAATGGACTTTAATAGGTAGCAGAAATTATTTTAGTGACCAGCAGCAGGGCGACAATGTTAAACAAAGCAATTTATTAGTTAGCACTTACAAACGTATGTACGAAAAATGGTAAAATCATCATAAATAAAGACAATAAAGAAATCTTACTTAGAATTATAGTAGACTAAATAATTTCTCTCTTCTTTGTTCTTTGTGTTGTTGTGATTAGTCATACTATGTACAAATCATGATTGATTTTTTTAGATGTCTTAGATATATTAGATAAGGCAGAAATTTCACCTTTAATTTCATCATCTACAGGTGACTTTCCATTTTTTAAACTATTTATATGTTTTATATGTTTCTTATTTACAGGATTTAGATACATGGTGTTTTCCAGTTTGAGTTTCTCTTCAAAATTACACTCTTTTTAAATTACCACTAGACGCCAGTGATAATTAATAACCCACGTACGACGAAGGTAACAAGTTTATCTGAATTAAACATTTCTAAATGTTTCTAGTCCGAGGGTACAAAAGGTTTTACTTTTCTGATTTTATCATATTTAGTAAAAGATATGTAACCATTATATGAATTATTATAGAATCATTTGTAGATATTTTGAAATAATATGAAATAAAACAAACTCGACGCTTGAGGCACAAAATATGACAAAATAATGTTCTTATTGGATCGGAGGATATCTTTGTCTTTCCACCGTATGTTATTAGTTTTTTAAATTATTCTTCATTAAAAAATTAACATAAAAACATAAGATTAAAAACTGAATTATTATAACCAGTCTCTAAAACCGGAGAAGCTAGAAAATGATAAAAATTGACGACGATAATTTCAAACTATAAAATAAAGTACAATTCAAGACCAAACCAAACCATATACATATTTAAAAGACGACACTCAGTTCAGTAGTCATATTATAGTTTTATAGCTTTTATTTTCATTTTTAATAATTTATGAACAAAAATATGAACAGAGCTGACACTAAGGATCGTAAACATCCTCTTAATGACTACCAGTTTATTTGTAATTTATTCGAATTTTATTTTAATGTGTGAAATTTTATTACAATGTTTTATAATCATGCTTTAATAAGAAGTTTAATGCTCTAAAACTTCGCCACAAATTATTGTTCGGTCCTGAGTTGGAATTACTTTTATTATGACGCATCCGACTCAGTTTATTACGATGCGAACGCAGATGCATCCAAAAGTGGTGGTATTAGGATGGAATTAATGCATTTAAACATTTTTATGGCTCCCATTGGAATTTAGTTTCGACTAGATTTTTTTGAATGAAAAAACTGTATATTTCTTTTTAAAAGCTCAAACGATTCTTGATTTTGGAATTAGAATGTTAAAAAAAATGTAGCTGGGCCATTTCATGTCAAATCG